GAAGAAGGGAGGTGAACACTGGGTTAACAAAAGTGTCTTGTGTTCCTTCTTTACTTGCTTGATTCGTGTTCCGCTTTCTTGATTAGTTGACTAAGTTTGCGATACAAACTACTGAGCTTCTAGTAAACAGACAAATCCTGAACAAGGGAATAAGAGCTTGTAGATTTCGCAACAAGCTTCTCTGGTTTATTCCCCAACAGATATGTACTTAAGAAAAAAAACAAAAAACCATGTGTGGATGGAGATGTATGTCGATGGAAGCGGAGAATCAACGATGGGAGATCAAATGCCGCACATGCTCTTGAGTTATTGTTTCAGAAGATAAGTCCAATGAACAGACAGTAGATCTACATCATCATCATGTGTTCCTGTTCTTTCTGATTGAGATATATTATCTTCGAATATTATCACGCACGTTATATCTCAACGTCAAATCAACTATTTTTGCTCATCATGCTAAGTGAGCGAAAATATCATCGTAGCAAAAGAAATTTTCATACGTATTCTTATGTTTTTGGTGTCAACGTATTCTTATTCGTATTCTTATGTTTTCTTTGATTATTGTTGTATTTTTTTCTTGACGCTTCTAGGTTTATAATTTTCTTGAGAATAAACAGGGACGTCTCTGAGATGTTGGAGACACTAAAACAATTTAGTAAAAAAATTAAAGGTTTTTTCATGTAAATTTTTTTAAAAAATTGTTTGATACTAAACCAATATTTCATTTTGCTCTGTTCAGAATCACCCCTGGAAATAGATACTAAAGTAAACGAATTAGGTCAACAAGAGATTGGTATTCATCCACGTTCGCAATATCTCATTTCTCATGCTTCAAAACCTTTCTCTTGTTTTCTACTTATGGTTGTGAAACTCATTTTTTGGTTAGTTTTCTTTCCAGAATTAGATAAACAGATTCCAGAGCTATGATTATAATTTTAAACATAAGAATATGGATATCCCACCATCCCAGAGATGATGTGTTGCATTAATAGATTAAGTTATCTCGGTACCAAGATACGGTTGCCTACCAAAAAATCAGAATCAATTTAATTTTGACATAAACGACCCATTCTACTAATGAGTCATCTCTTTTTCATTTGCTTATACTAATAACATTTTCAAGCCTAAAGTAAGCAGTAAAGAATCAAACTGTAAGGTTAAAATTGAAGTCGACAAAATAAATAAAAATATGTAATTAAGCTGCTTAACCTGAGCCATTCACACTCTCACGGCTTACCACTTGGTGTAACTCGTCGTCATCCAGTCACTTCGTTGTTGTCCTAATGCGCGTGTTCTTGTCCTTTATTCCACTTGCGCCTACACAAGAGTCACACACGCCTACGATACGTTGAAACGTTTTTTTATAATTTGTTTTCTCTAATTTTTATTCTTTATATCAGAAACTTGATATTTCAATATTCATTTTAATTTGAAAATAATGTTTTATACTTTATTTCTACATTTAGTTTTAAATTTAAAACTTAAATAAAATGTAAAACCCCAAGTGCAAAATTTATTAAAATAAATACAAATTCCAAATAGTTAAGTACAATCATAAAGTTAGTAAATTAAATATATATTTTTCTAAAATATACTCCCTCTGTTCCTAAAAGATTCGTATTCTAGTTTTTCACACTTTTTAATAAAACACAATAAATTTGCATAGTTTTTTGTATTTATCTTCTTTCCAAAGTTTTAAACCAATCAAAAATCAATTAGTGCAATTAGTTGTGTTGAAATTTACAATTATTTAATAAAATATACATTGAAAATGTAAAGAGTGGATTTTTTAGAAACAAATTTTTTTTTCTAGAATATATATCTTTAAGGAACGGAGGAAGTATAACTTTTTAAACATAGAAAATATAGCGTTTTACGTCTTGCTCCTATTTATCATCTAATTTTAATATTCTAGTTTTTCACACTTTTTAATAAAACACAATAAATTTGCATAGTTTTTTGTATTTATCTTCTTTCCATAGTTTTAAACCAATCAAAAATCAATTAGTGCAATTAGTTGTGTTGAAATTTACAATTATTTAATAAAATATACATTGAAAATGTAAAGAGTGGATTTTTTAGAAACAAATTTTTTTTTCTAGAATATATATTTTTAAGGAACGGAGGAAGTATAACTTTTTAAACATAGAAAATATAGCGTTTTACGTCTTGCTCCTATTTATCATCTAATTTTAATAATACTCTTTCAAGCAATATACCAAATTCTTATTTTAAGTTCAAATAATAATAGTACATTACATTTTATAATACAATAGAAATAGCGGTAAAACTCTTTTGAAGGCAATCACCTTGCTGTCAAAGAAGTGGCAGTCCTCATCTTACATGAACTCTGCAAGAATAATTGACTAAGCTGTGTGATCATCATTTCCAAATTAAATATCATGTTTTCCTTTTGGACTTGTGTTTCTAAGATATTTTGTTATTCCACCGGCATTATTTTACCATGAATCTCTCTCTCTTTCCGAACGAGCACCACCAGTCAAATGGTTAATAAATAAATTCAAGTTGGAAGAAATGTTTAAGTAATTAAATAAAAAGTTACCTTGTTGGAAAAATGGATTTCCTTTTATATAAATTCAAAGCTAGCCTGTACAGTTTATTTGTAAACTCATTGGTATACAGAGATAAAAAAAAACGCTCTCTCTCTCTCTCTCTCTCTCTCTCCCTCCTTCGTTCTCTTCCACTCTCTTCTCTTATATCCTCCATAGCTTTCTATCTCTCTGATACACGAAGAAGTTCATCATTGTTTGCTTCCTTACGCAAAAACCTCCAGGTAACACCAACAGTCTACGAATAACACAATTCTCATTAATCTTTTTTTTTTGTTTTGATATTCCGACAATCTTACCGATGTGTTTATGTTCTGTCTGTTTTCTTGATCTGGTGACTTATTATGTAATGAACACGAATTTTCATTACAAGAAGAATCCTGTTTTTACAAAGAAACAGAGACTGTTGACTTTAGAGGTTAGATCTCTAAAGAAAGATGAATCACGTACAATCTGAACAGAGCTTCTACATTGAGAGCGAAGATGAAGACTATAAAAAAGATTCGGATGAAGGAGAAGAAGAAGAAGATGATGATCAAAGCCATTCTGATTCCTCCGATGTTAATGATGATAGTCAGATAACTAAACCAAGCTCATACTCTACAGCTTGGCCACAGAGTTACAGGTCCCTATCTCTAACCCCTTTATTTTCATTTATTTATGATATGGCCAAGAAGTTTTGTTTTACTCAATTTGGTCCACGTTTGTGTGTTCTTGGTAATGTTTGTAGGCAGTCCATTGATCTTTACAGTAGTGTACCATCTCCCAACATCGGTTTTCTTGCGAATAACTCGGTGACGAGATTTGGAAGCTCTTTCTTGTCTTCTTCGTTGATAAGGAGACATACTCCAGAATCTTTAGCTTCTGTTACAAAGCCTCTGCTCGAAGCAGATGAACAAGCTCTACCACCACCACCAAAACACAGACTTAGCTCTCATGGCTTGCTCTCTCCTGCTCCTTCTAGGAGAGGTTCAATGCGGAAGGACGAGAAAGTATCCATGGTCTCTCATGAGATTCCAATGGCCAGCAATAGCTCATATGGACAAGCTGTTCTAAATGGTGAGCTTTTTTCTTACCATATTGCTTTATGTTGTTTAAAAAGTCAAAAATATACTTGGTTTGATGATAGTAGTAGTAGTAGTAGTAACATGTGAGAGCAAATGATAATGAAAAGTTATCAACCTTTATCTGTTGTTAGATCGTCAGTACAAGAATCTAGGATGTGTATTAGAATATTCTTTCATATTCTGATATGTGTGTATGGGTCTAAGACCGTCTTCTTGGTCTTGAAGACATTTATCTATTATAATATGAGAGAAAAAGTACAAAATAACAATCTACTCTATTGTCATATAGCACATGGAATCACATGAACAAAACTGTTTAGACCAAACACATCTAGAATGATTGTTTATCTTTTACTCTTTAGTCAATTTTTTGATGATCATCATATAACATGTGGGGGAATGTGCAGGACTGAACGTTCTATGTGGAGTTGGAATACTATCAACGCCTTATGCTGCTAAAGAAGGAGGATGGTTGGGACTAATAATACTGTTTATATATGGTTTGCTTTCTTTCTACACTGGTATACTCCTGCGTTACTGCCTTGACAGTGAGTCTGATCTTGAGACCTATCCTGACATTGGCCAAGCTGCGTTTGGTACCACCGGACGTATCTTTGTCTCGGTAAGTCAATAGTACAACCCTATGAACTTGAAATATGTTTCATTGAATCTAGCAATTGAATATTACAACTATGTAGCTTACCACCATTAGTAGTGGAATCTGATAACATCTGTTTTCATATTATTTTAATCATTTTCTTCTTTTCTATGTATTGCAGATAGTACTATACTTGGAGCTATACGTAAGTACTTTTTCCCATTCATCCAGTATATTACTTTAATTTATACTTTATTAACTCTTATTGTCAAGAAAAAGTTCCAAGTGGTGTCAAAAACACAACAGGAGAGATCTTGAAGTATGTAGAATCCAATTCATGGCCCCATGTCGTGAAACAAATTAGCATAGGGCCCCATAGATTCTCACATTAGTTCATTCTAGATTTGGTTTTACCTTTCTCTTTAAATTCTATTTGTTCCTTTCTAAAGTTGCTTTTTTCACGTCACTAAAGCAGCAAAGATATACTTATTTTTGAGATTGAATGGTCCCTAATTAAAAGCTTATTAAAGGCCACTACTACTAGTGTGAAATGATTAGTTGAATAGTGAATCTTCTAACAGCTTAGTTTAGATGTTACTTGTTTTGTATTATAGTCCGTTCAGTGCTAGGATATTTGTTTCTTACATAATCTTGTGTTGCACCAAAAAGTGTCTAATTAACTTCAAATATACACATCAATAGAAGTGACTATATATAATCTTGAACATCTGCAGAGTTAGACATGATTGTATATTTTGTTGCAGGCGTGCTGTGTTGAATATATAATATTGGAGAGTGATAATTTGACTTCATTATTTCCAAATGCTGCCTTCGGTATTGGAGGATTTGAGTTAGATGCACGCCATCTATTTGCATTGCTAACCACTCTCGCTGTTCTCCCCACCGTCTGGCTCAGAGATCTCAGTGTACTAAGTTATATCTCAGGTGTAGTTTTTTCTTTCTAATCCTCTAACTTAATCTACTTATAGTCTAACACAAATGTCTTGAAATGTTCCTAACATGACTACTTTTTTTGTTAATTTTTTCAGCTGGAGGGGTGATTGCATCGGTGCTAGTGGTTTTGTGTTTGTTTTGGATTGGGTTGGTGGATGAAGTTGGAATCCACAGCAAAGGAACTACACTTAACTTGTCAACATTACCAGTAGCTATAGGGCTATATGGTTACTGCTACTCAGGACATGCTGTTTTCCCCAATATTTATACTTCTATGGCAAAACCAACTCAATACCCTGCTGTTCTCCTGACCTGGTATGCTTATGAAGCTTTCTTAACTCTGCATTTTCTAGATACCTTTGTCATGAACCTCCCACAATGATTGATAATGTTTTTGCAGCTTTGGTATTTGTACTCTCATGTATGCCGGTGTTGCTGTTATGGGTTATACAATGTTTGGAGAAGCAACAGAATCACAGTTTACTCTCAACCTGCCTCAAGATTTGGTTGCAACTAAGATTGCTGTGTGGACTACTGTAAGTAGAACAAACATGTTTTCATCACACTACTGATTGCATGTTGGTTATGATCACACAGGAACTAAAACCGGTTTGTTTTGTCTAATTTTACAGGTGGTGAACCCATTTACAAAATATCCTTTCCAATAAATAATACTCAGAAAATAGTTTTCTTTTACTGTTTTAACTTGAATAAAATTATCTTTGTGTGTCACCTTAACAAAAGAAAGCACATATGCTTTGACCATATCTCCAGTAGCACTGAGTCTTGAGGAACTGATACCAGAGAGACATAACAAGTCACATTGGTACGCCATTGGCATTAGAACCGCATTGGTCTTCTCAACTCTGCTTGTCGGTCTTTCAATCCCCTTCTTTGGTAAGATCTTTGATGCAATGCTCATTTTCTTCAAACCATCATACCTTTTTTTTGCTATTAGTGAACACTCAAAATCTTGCAGGTCTTGTCATGTCATTGATTGGATCCTTGTTGACAATGCTCGTTGTAAGCTATCTCTTCCTTGTCTATAATAACATGACACTATTTTTAGATATGTTAAGTTCAAACTTCGTTTTATGCAGACGCTAATACTTCCACCAGTTTGTTTCTTGAGCATTGTACGGGGAAAAGTTACCCGGACACAGGTAATGTTTCTTAGCTATTCAGTATTTATATCAGTTTAACATAAAAACATTGTTTTAAACATCTCTGACAAATGGTTTTTGGTTTGTTTTTTATAGATGCTGCTGTGTGTCTTAATCATCATAGTAGGAGCCATATCTTCCGTCGTTGGCTCATATTCAGCTCTCTCCAAGATCATTCAGAAACTGAGCATGGGAACATGAATCTCTTTTTATTTTTATACAAAATTCTTATACCCATTTTGTTTTCATATAGCAAACTCATTCTTGCATTCACAGTTTTTTTTCTTTCTATTGTAACATTCTGAGTGATGATGATCTGCATCTTTAGACTGGTTTGAAACAAATCTATTAATGATGTATTTGATTAATAAAAATCCAGCAATTAAACACAAATCTTTCTCTATATAATCCTTTCATTCAAAATTCTGTAGCACTGGCTTGGTCTCTGTAATAAGCCTCTATTAGAATAGCTGTACAAGTAAAAGATTGGTGAATGGCCTTTTGAACTTTGTGAGGCAATACAAAACCTGTTATATTATAATAATGACAATAATATATTCATAACACAATCACACAAACGCTAAGTTGTTGTTTGTTTATGTTCTGTCTCAAAAATCAAAGAGAAGTGACAAGTTTAGGAGACCAAGTAGGCAGAGTAGGACAACCATTAACCCCAGTTACAAGTTCAACAAATCTTTTCTTAACTCTTTCTCTCCTTGAAGCCGATAACGCATCTTTAGGCGTCAAGCTTTTCACCAACGGCAAAGCTGGAGTAACCTCGTCTGAGCTCTCTACTATCCTCTCTAACATCTCTGAAACCTCACTCATCGTTGGTCTTAACTTTGCCTTCACCATCAAACACATGTTGGCAACAGCAGCCAGCTTCAAAGCCGACTTGAGGTAGTAGTTTCCTTCAAGTCTTGGGTCGATGATCATCTTGAACTTCTTGACATCAGTCAAGTGAGGTTTGATCCACTCCAAGATGTTTTGCTCGTTTCTTGGACGGTTTCTGTCGAAGGGACGTCTCCCTGTGATGAGCTCGTAGAGAAAGATTCCGTAGCTCCACACGTCGCTTTTGGCAGTGAGGTGGCCCGTTTGTATGTACTCTGGTGCTGCATAACCAATGGTTCCAACAACCTTGTGGAACACA